AAGAGCAGCAGGAGAAGAGCATCATAGCGACCATCGACGACGTCCTATCCGCGCGGCCGGGAGCGCTGCCTGAAGACGCAAACCCTGGGCCCCAGGCTGAGAGCAGTAAGTTCCCCTTTGGTATTCAGCAAGCCAAAAGCCACCGGAATATCAAGCTGCTGGAGGACGAGCCCAGGAGCCGGGACGAGACTCCTCTGTGCACCATCGCACACTGGCAGGACTCGCTGGCCAAGCGCTGCATCTGTGTGTCAAATATCGTCCGAAGCTTGTCTTTCGTGCCTGGCAATGATGCCGAAATGTCCAAACATCCAGGCTTGGTGCTGATCCTGGGAAAGCTGATTCTTCTTCACCACGAGCATCCGGAGAGAAAGCGAGCGCCGCAGACCTACGAGAAAGAGGAGGATGAGGACAAGGGGGTGGCCTGCAGCAAAGATGAGTGGTGGTGGGACTGCCTCGAGGTCTTGCGGGATAACACGCTGGTCACGTTAGCCAACATTTCTGGGCAGCTAGACTTGTCTGCTTACACGGAAAGCATCTGCTTGCCGATTCTGGATGGCTTGCTGCACTGGATGGTGTGCCCGTCTGCAGAGGCCCAAGACCCCTTTCCAACGGTGGGACCCAACTCGGTCCTGTCCCCTCAGAGACTTGTGCTGGAGACCCTCTGTAAACTCAGCATCCAGGACAATAATGTGGACCTGATCTTGGCCACTCCTCCATTTAGCCGTCAGGAGAAATTCTATGCTACGTTAGTTAGGTACGTCGGGGATCGCAAAAACCCGGTCTGCCGAGAAATGTCCATGGCGCTTTTATCGAACCTTGCCCAAGGGGACGCACTAGCAGCCAGGGCAATTGCTGTGCAGAAAGGAAGCATTGGAAACTTGATAAGCTTCCTAGAGGATGGGGTCACGATGGCCCAGTACCAGCAGAGCCAGCACAACCTCATGCACATGCAGCCCCCGCCGTTGGAACCGCCTAGTGTAGACATGATGTGCAGGGCGGCCAAGGCTCTGCTGGCCATGGCCAGAGTGGACGAGAACCGCTCGGAGTTCCTTTTGCACGAGGGTCGGTTGCTGGATATCTCGATATCGGCTGTCCTAAACTCTCTGGTTGCATCTGTCATCTGTGATGTACTATTTCAGATTGGGCAGTTATGACATAAGTGAGAAGGCAAGCATGTGTGAGTGAAGATTAGAGGGTCACATAACTGGCTGTTTTCTGTTCTTGTTTATCCAGCGTAGGAAGAAGGAAAAGAAAAATCTCTGCTCCTCTGCCCCATTCACTATTTACCAATTGGGAATTAAAGAAATCATTAATTTGAACAGTTATGAAATTAATATTTGCTGTCTGTGTGTATAAGTACATCCTTTGGGGTTTTTTTTTTTTTTTAAGTTCTGCTCTTTTTTTTAACCAAAGTTGCTGTCTAGTGCATTCAAAGGTCACTTTTTGTTTTTCACAGATTTTCTTTTTATTGTTCTTTTCCATGTTATATTGCATTTTTTGGGGGAAGCGAATGACTTGAAAAAGTTGTGGCAAAAGATGCTAAGATGGGAAAAATTTCACCACACTGAGGTAAGAAGGTGAAAAATGATCAATTTCCTATGTGTTTTAGTCTTCAGAGAATGGAAAAACCTGCATCCCATCACTCAAAGCTCTGTGCAATAGAAACTTCTAGAGACATAGGTGTAGGGGCGCAAGGAGGTGTAGTCAGAACTATGAAATTAAACTGGTTTCTCCACGGGAAAATGGTGACATTAGGTTAGGAGCAAAAAACGATGTTTTTTAAGTTAAGATTGAAGATACATACCTGACAACGATCAGTGGGAACTGCTTCCTCACCACTACCGTCATGTCTGCTGTCTGTCGTCTGACCTTCCACATGACAGTTCTTCACAATTCCTTTAATCATTTTTTAAATATTTTTTTTACTGCCTATGGGCTGTGATGTATATAGAAGTTGTACATTAAACATACCCTCATTTTTTTTCTTTTCTTTTCTTTTTTTTTAAGTACAAAGTTTTTAGTTTCTTTTTCATGATGTGGTAACTACAAAGTGATGGTAGATTTAAATAATTTTTTATTTTTATTTTATATATTTTTTCATTAGGGCCATATCTCCAAAAACAGAAAAAAAAAAAAAGAAAGAAAAAATACAAAAAACAAAAACAAACAAAAAAAAACAAAAAAAAGAGGGTAATGTACAAGTTTCTGTATGTATAAAGTCATGCTCTATTTCGGGAGAGCGGCTGATCATAATTTGCTTCATGAATCAAGGTGTGGAAATGGTTGCATATGGATTGATTTAGAAAATGGTTATCAGTACAGACAAAACAGGAAAAATACAACTGAAAGGAAGAAACACAACTTCAAAGATTTTTCAGTGATGAGAATCCACATTTGTATTTCAAGATAATGTAGTTTAAAAAAAAAAAAAAGAAAAAAAAACTTGATGTAAATTCCTCCTTTTCCTCTGGCTTAATGAATATCATTTATTCAGTATAAAATCTTTATATGTTCCACATGTTAAGAATAAATGTACATTAAATCTTGTTAAGCACTGTGATGGGTGTTCTTGAATACTGTTCTAGTTTCCTTCCAGTGGTTTCATAGTAACCAAGTTATTTACAGAAAGAAGGGAAGTTCGTGATAAAGCCCTGAGGTCTGAAGGGACCTTCAGGGATTACCTGCTTTAGAGTGGGGAGCAACAGTTGGATTTTCTCAAATTATTTAGCTAACTGGTCTTTTTTTTTGAAGCAATTAACTCTAACAACATTGAGGTATGATCATTTTCAGTGTATGTGGGAGGTGGTAGCCACCCCATCCGAGGTGGCTCTCCAAAGCTCAGTGACCTGAAAATGTAACATTCTGCCTTTTGCTAACTCCATCCTGGTTTTAATCAAAGTCCATGTTTCTTCTGTGTGCCTCAAAGTTATTTTGCATTTAGTTTACTCCACCGTGTATAATATTTATATTGTGCAATGTTAAAAAGAATATGTTATATTGTATGTGTGTACAGAGTGCAAAAGGGCGTATTATTATTCTCATATTCCTTCCTACCTGGTGCACAGTAGCTTTTTAATACGAGTCACTTCTAATTTAAACTTTTTCTTCCTGGGTCATTGACTGTTATTGTGTGATGATCAAGTTCTTCAAAACCGCTGCACGGTTATGCTGTTCGTGGACCCCCTTCTTATTCTGACTCTACCTCTTCTCAGCCCCTCCCAATCACGGCATTCTCAACAACTCCCAGTCTTCACCAAACCTGCTGTCTCAGTCCCTGTTGCTCTCAGTAAGAGACAGGAGCGTTAGACAGGAACACACCACTGTAATCCCGACGCGGTGTGACACTCTGGTGTCACAGGAAAAAACCTACTTTATCTGCAAGCAGTCTCACCATCTATCAACGCTCACAGTACTCAATCAAATGATAGTGTAGCCCTATAGGTGTTGAATTAACTCCCATTCGTAATTCTACTTTAAATAGATCTGCTTGCTAAGAACGGATTCTATTACTCCAAGCGTGAAATACAGAGATTTGTAGAGGGATTCACTGTCCTTGTCATTTCTCTCTTACAGAATGCAAATAAAAGGCGTAGACGAACCCTGAAGTTATCTAGTACCCCAATCCTTTGTCAGTCAGAGGAGCACGTGGTTACAGAGACTGTGGTAGTGAGCCAGTGGGCAACCAGTAGTTAATGCTGCTATGCAACCCAGACTCTAGAAAAATCCAGGAAGACTTAGCAGCCTGTCTACACTCTCACCCCAGAAACAAGACTCACAGAAGCCCGTGAAGTGACAGTCTGCTCGAGGCTGTCTTGCCTATAAACTGAGTTATTGCTTTGTCCTAAAAATTAGTTGTTTTTTTTTTCCTATGAGGCTTTTCAGAAATTTACAGGATACCCATACTTTTAATGTGTACCAAAAAAAAAAAGAAAAAAGAAAAAAATAAAGGTGCAAAGAAAGTTTAGTATTTTGGAATGGTGCTATAAAGTTGAATCTGTTGCTATTTGAGTGCATTTTTTTAATGTCACATAAGAGATACCGTTGGGTGGCATCGGCTCAGAAATAGCTATTCAAATGTTCCATGTGAGGCGAAAATGACACAGAGTCGGGTCCTGCTGGTGGATGTGGCCCTGTCCAAAGATTAGCTAAGTCTGTTTTTTAAAAGTGGTAATAGAGAGTGTTTTTCTAAGGGGACCTGGGCAGTCTTACACAATGTAAACTACTAACTACCTTTTGTATGAAAAGGAAGCAAGCCCTTGCCCAGACATCCATCCACTTAAAAACCATTGGAAATCTTTCATTTCCTGTCATACCATGGGTACTGGTTCCCGGATCTGCCCACCTGCAATGACACGCAAAAGTGTAAAAAATGAACCAGGAGGGACTATAAGGAGCCATGTTCTCACTGAGTCAAGAGCGCCCGGCTGCCCGGACCCCAGCTTCCCCCTCCCCCTGTGCCATTGCACGTCCCTCAGGGGAACTGGGAAGCGAACTTGAACCTCAGAGTTAGGCAAGCTCTTCAGAACTCCAGCAAACACCCTTGGTGACGCTCTGTAACCTGCTAAGATACCATGTTATCCATTAATTTAGCTGCGCTGTTCCAAGCGCACCCCGGGCCACTCCACTCTGGGCTCAGTCCTGGGTGAGCCCGCAGTGACCAGCGAGCGACCCTGTTCTGATTTCGCTCTGCTCTCCGAGTTTAGCTCACGGACCTGCTTGTGCATGGAAACACCTGTGGCTGGTGAGTAGGAAACAGCGGGGCTCTAGCTGTTGGGATTCAGGGTGTACAGCCCACAGCACAGGACTGAGACAAGGGAAGGTGTCTCACCTGCGGGGCCACAGCCCACCGATGCTCTCGGCCACCCCGGAGGCCGTCCCTGGTCTGCGATGTTTCTGGGAACCTGAGGGCCCTGCTCCTCTCGGGCTCTCTGGAGGGAGCTTTTGAGTTCTGAGACAGAGGGCGAAAACAGGTATCCTGGTGCCCTGGGATCCCTAGACTGTGAGACCAGCCCTAGGAAATGTAGCATATGACTGACTGAACAAGGCCCGGTTCAAGGCCCCTGTTGGGTGCCATTCTGCCAGGCATGCCCATGCACATGCCCCCCTCCAGCACTGGGCTTCCCACCGCTGCCGTCCAACTGCCCGTCCGTTCTACAATAATCTAAGCAGTGCAGGCTCGAAATGCCAACATCAAATGGCCAAATTGGGGCTGAAGAATATGAAATACTAAGGGGAAGTTGTGGGAGGAGATGGGTCAGACAGGGGATCCCCAGTGTCTCAAAATTGTGGGACTCATTTGACTTCTTCCCAAATCTGATTTCAGGAACTTAAAGTTGTACCCCAGCTTTTTCCAAAGCATATTCAAAGAAACATCTCAAAAACAGAAGAAAACCAAATCTTACATACTGTCCTCTTGGCAGTCTCTAGTCCATACAACCGTGTTACGGACTGAGAAATCCTGCAGAAGGGACACTTGCTTATCCCAAGTATTTCCTGACTTCATTAACCTTGGAAAAAACTTTCTAGTGATTTCTATAAATATACTGCGGAGCTTTGGGAAATACCTATATTAGCCAAAGATCATGTCTGACTTTTCTCATAAGTGTCTGTGTTTCTTGCATTTTTATTCCTTAGCCTGGAATTGAATTGTCCTCATTAAAGGAAATAACACGGAACTTTTTTTTTTGGCCATCTCTGTGACCTTGAGCAAGATACTTAAATGCTTTGACCCTCAGTGTGCTTACCTGTAACAGGGCATGACAGACACATCTTAGGACTGGTAAGAATTAAATTAGATAAAGTGCGTTAGGCCGTGTAAGTGACAAATACATCCTAGACATACATACGTGCACAAATACTTCGACTGTGGCTGGTACCCTAAAGTATATTTCATGCAGTTTTAAGTAAACCCGAAGCGCATACCCTATTGTTGTAACCAGTCACACACTGACTCTGGGACGCTAGTAGAAGCCATGGAGATTTAGTTCATTGACTCCCCGTGTTAACACCAGGGTGAGTCTGCATAATTTCTCTTACATGCCAGATTTGGATGTCTGACTTGTCTCCCTCAGGTATGTGGAAAAGGGGGAGTGGACGAACCCACCTTTTTGCACACCTATGGGAAGCAAATCCCTGGAATACAGTCACATAGTAAATTTGCCCTACCCTTGGAAAAAGTGTCATGAAATCCCTTGCAAGGGTCAGAAGTGGTAGGTGACCAGTCACGGTGCTTTCGGTGATGTTCTTTTTCATTGGACAGAGCCACAGAGCTCCCCTAAAGAGGCCAACAGGTAGTGTAGTGGTTAAGGTGTAGGACTCCCACTTGGTCGCCCGTGGTTGGAGTCCCAGACTTGGCACCTTGAAACTCACTCTTGAGTGCATGTGTGCACTTGCCCAAAATCCCAGGATGAGACAGGATTGCAGCGTGCTCACACCTCCCCCCACCCCCGAGGTGGGGGGTGATTTCTCAATCTGGCGCATCCTATAGAAAAAAATCTCTAAAAGGAAAAAAAAAAGAGAGAAGGAGCCGTAGCTTCCCATAGGGCGCTCTTCATTCCATGTCACCTTACGGTTGGGCAGATAAACGCAGCTTGGGCTTTGGGCTTCTACCTGAGTTTGGAATTTAGCTGGCCTAGAATCTGTATATTCTGCAAACTGGATTTTCCCAGTGATCTGAAGAACTTAAACTTAGACGGGGCTCCCCGTCTAAAACAGTTCTTCTGGCCAGAACCACACAGTGGCATTGCTTCCTGGTAAGTGCCGATTGCTTCACACGGGGGCGTTTTTGCACTTGGGGGAATTCTGTGGCTATTGGTGGTTCTTCACAGAAGCCTTGGGATAGAGCAGCATCCTCTCCACCCTCCAGGAACAAGCACAGGCTGACAGGCAAGGTGCCGCGCTTAAGTTGGAACCAAACTGAGGCCAAGGGCGCGTATGTGTCTGGGAAATTCCTTCAGCTTTCCACAAGATTCTGAGGGGCCCGGGGATATTTAGAACAGAGACGCAGGCCACAGATGGCCGTCTGCCGGTGCCTCCTTCAGTGATGGCACGGCACGGCATGTCTGCACTCCACACCTGTGCCTCTATTAAAAGGGCAGTGCTTGGGCCAGCAGGTGGCATAGTGGTTAAGGTATTGGACTCCCATGTGGTTAACCAGGGTTTGAAACCGGACCCAGAGGCTTGAAAATCACACCAGGCACATGTGTATGCGTGCCCAAAATCCCGAGAAAAGAATGGAGGAAAAGGGATTGTGGCATGGCCATCCTCCATAGGGTGTGATTTCTCACTTTGTCTCTGTCTCTCCAGTGAGCACATGTGCCTTATAACAAAAATCTCTCTAAAAAATAATAATAGTTAAAAATGAAGTGTCATTATATTTAAAACAAAATCAGAATAGCTTGGATCAGAATCACTCTACCCTTGCATAATAGGCTCTCCGCTATAGCCCAGAGGTCTCTCCTTCCTGGTAACATCTTCATAATCCCCAAGAGCTTCATGTATATTTTTTGCATTGAAAAAAAAAATGTAATCACCCCCCCCCTTGAGCAGTGCGCATCATGGTTATACCTTCTAGATTTCTCAGGCCCTGCTGGACACAGACACTACCAAAGACAGATTCTTAAGGCACAGCAGACACATTTTCTGCCCACCAGAAGCTTCAAAAACACCACGGAACTTTGACAGGAATTTCAGTTTCTTCAAAGCGTACCTTGTGCCCAAGGGCTTCCCTAAGTGATACTTTATGAGAGATCGGAACTCTGCCCTCAGCCTTAACCAAACCCCAGCTCACTTTTACAATCGATATTCACAGTCACCCAGAGAGCGGCCTGCCAGGGGACATGGCGTGACATCCAGCCCTGGTCACTGACGGCTCCCAGCCAGGGGCTCTTAGAGTGTCCACTAATATTGATGCACGGCCTCTGGGCGGCCTTGTTGGTCAGCACTTGGGGGCTCTGGTTTGATCATTTCTTTCCTGTTGCCCTCTGTTCACTCATTGAGACTAGGAAGGGGCCAGAGGAAGAATGAAGAACATGGGGAAGGCGCCAGTTGCTTGTTTGGCTTGTGACTTTGACGATGCTGGTCTCATCAGAGGGGTCATTTGTTCCCAGGGGCTTGACGTGTATGTTACGTTTCTATGATGAAAATCCTTAGCGGGATAGAAGCTCGCCGGTCGGCGTAAGGCTCTTCCTGTCCAGCGTGCATCCCCACCGTGCGTGAGTGGAGGGCCAGTGTCTGCTCGGCCTCAAGGTCTGAAGGCAAAGTCCCTGGATGGCCAAGGGCCACCCGGGTTTATCAAGACGGGCTTCGATTCCA